ATTTTTTAAATAACCATAATTATACAAAAAATTGAGAAACAAGATTTCCAGATTGCGTCACCAATCTGCCAATGTTCAAAAATCTCGAGAAATGGTTCTTAAATAATATCAAATATTAAGAGTGGGGTAAATTAAATCTTGACATTGTAATATCTTATTACGATGCAATGTCTTCAATACGAAATATCTTTTGAAAGTTCTAATTTATTAGGAAGGGGGAACCATATTAATCTGATTGCTGTTATCAACTCCATCAACCTCAACAGAAGCTTCAACAGTAACTTTACTCTGACGATCTAAAGGAACGCTATGATAACAATTTAGGTTCTGATCATGAAAGTCGTTCACACTACTAACATTCTTTTGGATATTAGGCTCGCTCAAAGTCATCGTAAAAAGCAATTCGTCATCGTCATTATTTGAAGCGCCTACCTTCACTTGATGGACAGGTGATCCTGAAATAATATCAGCTCTACCAGTGAGATGCCCTGTTACTGCTATATTTTCGTGATCAAACTCTTTAACTAGCTCACTTGTTTTTTTAATATTGTAACCTGTTGCAGAGCTTTTCCCTAAACCATCCATTATATTATTACTTCCTTCAGGATTTGTTATTGAATCTCCGATACTGGAATTTGATTCCTTAAATAACAAATTATGTTTTTCTTGATTATGGTAATGCGCATTGACTTGAGATGCCAAATTGGAATAAGTATCCATAATAAGATTGTCAGATTGCATTAAGTTCACATCGTTTCCTTTACCGATGCTACTGTTTGAAGTAATACTACTACTCCTTCTGGACCTATGTGGACGAAATTCGGATGTTTTTGTTTGAGGTATTCGAACTGGCTGAGGCCTATCTTCCTTTGACCTATCTATAGAAACTTTTTCAGAAAGCCGTGATGGCACATTAGGATGGTGAGTCAATGATTTGCTTATGGATGACATTGTTGACGATGAAGAAATAGATCCACTTGAAGTGCCAAGTCCTAATCCACCTGGTGGATCTAGTTGATGAGGGCTGGTTTGTAAACCAATAGAGGTCATTGAGTCTGGTAAATT